AGCCTGCTTCTCCCTCTCCCACTCCCCCTGCTTGTGTTCCCTCTCTCGCTGTCTCTCTCTCTCTGTTGAAAAATAAATAAAATCTTAAAAAAAAAATAAAGTATCAAAGGCCAAACAATATGAAATGTTTTCTAATATTGTCCGCCATACACATAATGTACATATGTCCTATAACACCTGTCATAGTAGCACAAATGGTTGCTGCAGTGGGATCTATCCTTACGAGTGTCCCTTCTATGACTTGGCTAAGTTTCGAAGATTTAAATGGACAGCAGATGCTACATGGGATCAAACCAAGTGGAGAATCACCGGCATTCTTTCCCACAACTACAATTAAAATACTAAATACTGCAACAAGTATGGTAAAAATGATAGGGATGTGAACCAAAATAGGAAGGGTGTGTAAAGAGATGCTTAGAAAATTTACATTCAAAGTGCCTACAAAATAATCCTGCAAGACGAGAACGTGGTTTAGACAGGAAAATTCCATCTCTCAGTGGCTGTACTCTACAGTAATCGGAAACTAGTTATTCATGGAAAATCTTAATACTTTCAGTTTTTAAAAATTATAGCTAATGCTATATTCGGACAGATAATTTCAAACAAATGAAAGTCTCTGAGGAAATGTAAAACTATAGAAAATAAACTTTGACTATATAAACATGCCAATTCTTATTTCTTTTTGAAACTTAAAAATTTTACGTAAAAAACAAAAGAACTCTGACCAGAGGCACAAATTTCCTGGAAACCATTCACTAAAGCTCCAACTTTTTAGTTTGAAGAATCTCTCATCATTAAACAGCTATTTACTCATAATTCTGCCAGTACCTAGCAATATTCCATTTTCTGTAAAAGAGAAATTACTTTAGGTAATCGCTAAATCCAGATCTAATATATGTGGAGAACTGTGGAACAGTTACCTCAAACCACTCATGGCATCTCCTCTGCCTTCCTCTACTACTGAGCCTAGACAGCTAAAACACTCCGTTTCTCACCCTCCTCTGCCGGAGCTCCAACTCTGGTCAATGAGCTTATAGGAAGAGGTCCCTCACAAGGGCTTCTGTTACTCAATAAAACACAAACAAAGCCTCACTAGGAGAAAGCCCTTCTTGCTCTTCTGCCTTCCTCCTTCACCTGGCTGGAAGGAGATCCCGGTAAACAAAACTGCAGCCTCCATCTTAGAATCAAGAGGTAACAGACATCAAGAAGAAAACCAGCATGCTCTAAGGTGGAGAGGAGGGGAGACCTCAGTCCTGGATGGTACTGTGGAGCCCTTGCAAGTCCTAGATGACCACCTAACCCCTGGGCTTCTATCTCTACTTGTTTAAGCCACAGTTAGTTCAGTAAACTGTTACTTGCATCCATACCAGACCCCAAGGGCTCCTGTATCTATACATGGACATAACGACATGTGCATCAGGTGGTCATTCTAAGAGCAAATGAGATAATACATGCAAGCTGTTTAGAAAAATAACTGAGCAATAAGTGCTCAATTAACGTTAGTTTCTATTACTACATTCACTGAGGATTTCAGAAAAATGACTTATTACTTGACCAATACACACTTTCAAAAACAAATAAACGGAAGTTTTAAAAACACCTTCTAATTCTTCAAATGTGGTGACTTCAATGAACTTATGAGACCAATAAGTTATATATAAAAGTATAAATCTAAGACATTCATGACAAATTCATAGGTATAGCTCTAAAATACAAGATCTCTTTATTTATATAGGCCACTCTACTTATCAACTGCTTCAGTATAAATAAGTGCTTCAGAGGAGATCAGAAACCATCAGTGCTGATCACCTCTACAGTCCGGGCATGAATGAGGAAGGCCAATGAGCACAGCTGTCTTTAGTGTACCACCTGCTCAATAAGGGGAAGAGGACTTACAATACATACGCCAGTAAGACCCATCTCGAGTTTCACAGTTTAAAATAATATAGTCTCTTCAAGCTCATTTTGAATAAAAATTACTTAAACCCTGAACCACATTAATTCAAAGTCCTTTTTTCCCCTGGTCTAATGCATTTTTATAATTAATTTACAGACCACATGCTCGAGAATAATTTCTCAACTTCATTTATCTATCTATATTCTACCTTATCCCAGAAAAGATTTTATATGGCTAATGGTTTCTCAGTATATTCCTCCACTCAGACACCTTTTGGTTACCATTTAAATTACAATGTATGGAATCTCTTCCTGCTCAGAAGTTTTCTGATGCTGACACTTTCTTAGTTACTTTTGCAGTTCACACTTGCAGTCAGTGGTGCTTGAATATAGTTATAGACAACATAATTTTCAGAAGTAAACATATCAAATACATGCCTAGAAGTTTACTGGTATGCCCTCACATTTGAAACCCTAATTTCCTTCTTTAAACTTGAAACTCTTAGTAAGTTAAATATGTCATACATTAATAATGTGTAAGGCCCTGTTGAGGATTTACTGATAAATGAAACACAGTCTCTTCCTTCAAAGACCTCAGAGTACAATGAAAACAGGAGGGGCGCCTGGGTGGCACAGCCGGTTGAGCGGCTGCCTTCGGCTCAGGTCATGGTCCCAGGGTCCTGGGTTCGAGCCCTGGGTCCGGCTCCCCGCTCAGCAGGGAGCCTTCTTCTCCCTCTCCCTCTGCCTGCCACTCTACTTGTGCTTTCTCTCTCTCTGTCAAATAAATAAAATCTTTAAAAAAATCAAAAAAAAAAAGAAAACAGGAGAAATGTACGCAAGTGACAAAAATTAATTTGAGAGAAATTGTGTTTGAAAGCACAAAACTAACTGAATCTAGCACACAGCAGGTACTCAAGAAATTTTTGTTGGAATAATGAAAATGGTAGGGTCAGGTTTCTCTCCTTGAAGGAGAGCACTTGAACTGGACTGAATCTTAAAGGACAGGGGATCAACAGATCAATACTGAGCAAAGATTATTTCAGGGAGAGAAGATCATTTAGAGATAAAAATGGTGGAGGAGGAAACTCTGAGTTTAATGGGTAGAAAGTCTCAGTTTTGCAAGACGAGAATGCTCTGGAGACTGACTGCCTGACAATGTAAAAACACTACTGAACTATATATACTTAAAAATAGTTTAGGGCGCCTGGGTGGCTCAGTTGGTTAAGCGACTACCTTCGGCTCAGGTCATGATCCTGGAGTCCCAGGATCGAGTCCCATATCGAGCTGCCTGCTCAGCAGGGAGTCTGCTTCTCCCTCTGACCTCCCCTCTCTCATGCTCTCTCTCTCTCTCAAATAAATAAATAAAATCTTTAAAAATAGTTTAGAGGTCAGTTTTGTGTTATGTAATTTTAACAATTTTAAGAAATTAAGTGTACGGCCAACTAAAGAAACTTCAAGGTAATTCAGTATGGCTAGAGCATGGGGATTTAGAGGGAAAGGGGGGGGTGTCAAGTAGAAAAAAATAAATCTGAAGCTACTGTTGGAAGCCCTGTCAATGGAACTATGTAACAAGAGGCTGGTGTTCAGCTGCTCAGACTATCCACATATCAAGGAGACGCCATCAGAGATTTGTAACCACTGAAACGAAATGATTATTTTAGCAAACTAACTGTGGAAGAAATATGTGGGATGGACAAGAGAACAGAGATACACACTGCAGGACAGAAGACCGACTAGAAGGCTCCTTACATAGTCCAGCTCTAAATTACACACTGGCTGTAAGAACGGAAGGAGGGGAAAGGGTGCAGAGAAGGTGAATCAAATGGGAACTGAGAAGACTGGAGTTTTACAATTAGTAGATCACTGATTACTTTCAGGAGAGTGAGGAAGTGGAAAACGGCGATCACAGGATGAGTATAAAGAACAGCAGAAATACATAAACTATTCCTGCTTGAGAATTTTGGTAATAAAAAGAAGAATGGGAAAAAGTAAGGGTAAGCGAAATTAAGGAGAAATGATTTGGGTTTTCTGTTTAAGGCATCTTGTGCTTTGTTCTGTTTTTAGAACCGAAAGAAATGGAATGTGAGGGGAAGAGAATTTGCCACTTCTAGGCCTGGCCCATAAAACCTTCCTACGTGATCCCCTGTGCTCATTCTTCCCCTGCCTGCCAGCTGGATGTCAACACACAGGGTGAAACCGTGGAAACCACTTACTGAAGATACCAGGGCCTCCATCAGTGGTGGAGTAGGGCCACCCGACCATGACTGGATTGACACGAGTGATAAATAAATAACCTTCTATTGTGTAGAGCCACTGAGATTAAAAAAGAAAGAAAGAAAAGGTGCAATGAGCAGGGCAGCAGCAGGGGCCAAGAAGATAAAAACTTTGGGAAAAGGACGACAAGAAAGATACAGTCATACAGCCTTCACAGTTAGTATGGAAACAAATCAGAAGTATCTTTATAAAGACACGAATATGTACCAAAGTGAATTTAAGCAGGAAAATATTTATACAACCATTAACCTGAGAGCAGTTTCTGAAATACTATCTTCTATGATTCTTCTTCCATTTTCCGAAATTATAAAAAATGTCTTCTATATTCAAAAATCATTTTAAATGAACTGTTTGAACCACATTAAAAGGTCCTAATTTTCCCACTCAACTTATACTCAGAAATATTCCTGAATCGCTTGGCATTCTATCAAATTAAGGCTGTTGAGAAAAGCAATAGAACTCATTTAGACTCTGAGGACAAGTAAAGAAAGTACATGATGAACCTCAAATGTTTCCTTTTAAGGGCTCTTTCACTCTCCTTTCTCCACTAACACATGGCTCCTGGAGAGTATGGCAAATCTGCTTAAAAAACTATATTAGCATTATTCAAGTTCACATTAACATAACTTCCTTTAGTGAGACATCTCCTTTTCTGTACCTGTTGGGACTCCAAGGTATGGTTGGAGTCATAGTGGTGTCTGGAAACAAAACCCCATTGTCCTTGATCCTGTCTAGCGCATAATGCATTTCACAGAGGGGTAATCGATTTAATTGAAACTGAAGTTCAACCTGAAACACAAAATAAAAAATTTTTTAAAAATGCATGAATGCAAACATCAATGCTTACAGCTTGCTAAAAATTTTTGTGGAGATAACCTTTTGGGAAGCCAAATTTAGAGATTCTTTTAATAAAAGTGCAATGCTATTTTAATAAGAATTATTATGGCTAATATTTGCTTTGTTTACTTACTGTCAGGCATTGTAATATGCACTTTACATAAATTACCTCATTTACTAGTACCAATAATATATGTATCATTATTAACCTCATTTGACATCTAAAGAAAATGAAGTACTTGTGAATCACTTAATATCTAAATCAAGGTTATCTGGTTCCACCATATTCCTATGAATAATATACTTGATAAAATCAACAGAACATCTGTGAAATATCATCTCTTGAGTGATAAAAACCAGGCCTAGGACACTGTTATCAATTTACTATGAATAAATAATAATCACCAAATTTTATGTCTAAAAAGAAAAATAAATAAAATTTTAAAGAAGATTGGCTTTCCAGTTAAATATGGCAGAGTGAACACACAGTTCACCTAAGAAACCATAAAGAGAGGAGAACACAAGCAGATACAACCTGAGATAAGAACTGTCCCTGGATGTGGCTTAGTTTCCTTTAATCTGTTCTTCTATTGCTGATTTAAAATTCTAATCAGAAAGTTTGGCCTCGTATAAGACTGGAACATTGTAGATGTTACTTAATTATCGAATTGGGTTTCTCTGAGAGTTACCAGGGGTCTAATTCTCCACCCACCTCTATAACACTTCAAAATCAACTGCACTTCTGGTTAGAGCAGAAGCTAGAAAACCAAACCAGAACTGTATCAGCTGACAAAGATATATAGACAACCATAATTGAGTTGCCTCACTTCAAAACACACCTGTGTGTCATAATCAGGCCGAAGATTAAGTTCTTCACAGCATTCCCTGGATATCCTTAAAAATATATATTCTTTTGTTTTTTCTTCAATAGTAGCTTCATAAACCTTCTCTTTGGTTCCCTGGGTCTGTACTAACTTCTCTTTAGGGACTGGTAATAAATAAACAGCATTGACTTTGGTCATCACCAGCCGTCCAGCCAAAGTATCTTCAGAAAGTGTTTCAGTAAGCTTAAAGCGACCAAAAAGTTGTCCATTCTGAGCATACTTTGCACCTCCAGAAACTCCAGTGAGCATGAAACTTGCCAGAATCTGCAACTGCACTTTAAGGTTGAACCTAAATCAAAAGTAGAAAATGAGTCTGAATGTTTTACATCAAAAACAAAAAACTAGAAGAGCAAAACAAAATAAATCAAATTTAAACATACAGAAAATTAAAACTTCATCAATTCCACTCCATCGAGCTACAAACCATATATTACCTTTCTGCCATTAATCCAAGCTGGAAAAAACAAAACTTTTTTTAAGTCAATAAACTCTCACCCAAGTTACATAAAGGCATATACTTAGTTGAGTTGAAGAAAACAAACATTTTTAAAACCTGAACATTTAAGGGGCGCCTGGGTGACTCAGTCTGTTAAAGCAGCTGCCTTCGGCCTGGGTCATGATCCCAGGGTCCTAGGGTCGAGCCCTGAATGGGGCTCCCTGCTCAGTGAGGAGTCTGCTTCTCCCTCCCCCTCTCCCCCCAGCTTGTGCTCTCTCCCTGGCTCTCTCTCTCAAATAAATAAAAATCTTTAAATAATAATAATAAAAAAATAAAACCTGAACATTTAAAATAAAGCTAAGTATGATATTTTAATAAAATGAAATATTATTACAGGTTAATTAATACAGAAGTCTGCTTGACCACACCCTGGGACCATTAAAACTTTACAATCCCCTAAAGCCAGAAGGAAATGCAGTGTTGAAACTACAACGGACCTTCATTAAACTGAGGCTTTCCAAGTACATCTTACCAAAAGATTCAAACTGTGAAATTTTTCCTTCAATGCTGTTAACGAATAACATCCAGAATAAACTTTTGTTCATGACTACACTGAGACAGATCCCATTCAGGAATTACGGAAAGAGAAGTTAAGCGCTAGCTTGTCAGTCAATGGCTGGTGCACTCACTTGCACTCACTCCTGTGTGTGCCCATGAGTGTGAGAGAGAATGTGTGTGTCGAACAAGTAAGGAGAATCAAGATCCACACGGGCAAGAAATAGGACGTGGAAGAAAGATTTAAACTAACAAACAGCCCTCTCCTTTGCCATTCTGAAACAGTGCTGTGAGAGAGAAGACAAAGCAGTAAAAGAGGAACGGGAACATTTTCTACTTTTTCTTCATAAGATCTAAAATTATGTGAATGAAAAAAATTAAGTTCTTTTAAAATCTAAATATCCATTTGTGGAAAAGGCTACTTTTTAATGGGACTACTGAACTGTTTTCTTTTCAAAACTTCTTTTTGTATATATGATGCTAAGAATATCTTATAAATTCTTTTTTTAAATCTTTTTTTTT